CGGGGACCTTCTCTTACCGTACCCTGCTCCAGGCTGGCTTGGGTATTGAGATGGAAGGAGGGATGCTCTGGGGAGACAGAAATCCTTGCTCTGGGAAGCACATCAAGGGGGTCACACTGTACAGGGGTGAAGAGGGAGGGGCGGGCAGGGGGGTTACTTGGTGCCCTCATCTGGGTTGCCTTCGCCATCTGTCTTCCCTTCCTCCTCCGTCTTCTGGTCGTCCGTGTTCAGCCTCTGCTGCTTTTTCCGGCGCACGCATTTCACCACCAGCAGCACCAGGATCACCACGGCCAAGAAGCCACCTACCGAGGCGCTCACGATGACAGCCACCGTCGAGTCGTGCTTCGGGGGCTCTGGGGAGACAGGGCACGGGCTGGGGCAGCCAGCGGGAGCAACAGGGAAGAGGCAGGGCTCGCTCCCACCGGAGAGTGAAGGCAGGGCACGGGACGGAGAGCCAGCCAGCACCCATGGATGCCTGACAGCAGAGAGGACCGCTCTGTCACTTACCTTTAGTAAGCACCTTCAGGCTGATGCTGGCGTGGCCTCGCTGCCGGTCCGGGGGGTTCAGGACGTAGCAATTGTAGGTGCCCTCATCCTCCAGCTGCACGTTCTTGAGGGTGAAGGACACATCGTATTTGGTGGGGTTCCCAGTGAACTCCACCCGGTTCCCAAAGCGCTCCAGCTGCTTGTTCATGATCTTCATCCGGAACTGCAGGAACTGGGCAGCCCACATGGGAGAGGAGGTGAGACAGTGTTTGGCACTGCTCGCGCCCACTTTCCCCAGCCAGGCATCCCCCTCCCCTGCACGTCTCCACGGTCCCTGCTCAGCTCCGGCTGCCACAGTTGCCAGGGACAGGATCTCCTCGCGGCGCCTCTCCCCGCTCGTACCTGCAGGTCCTGCCCCAGCAGGGCAGCTGCCCTGACCGCTGCTTCTTTACACAGTCGGTTGCTAATTCTCCCTGTGGCAGAGGAGGGCCAGGTAGCAGGAGCACATGTTAGGAGCAGGCTCGGGACCCCAAGGAACGAACGCACATGACTACTTCAGTCTGGTCCCAGGACCTCTCAGCAGATGCCCAGCCCCGATGAGACTCACCAGCTCCTCAGAGCAGTTCCTGCACTCCTGGTATGTCCAGTTGAGGGAGAACTGCTTGTTCTCCACCTTGTAGCAGGAGTTGAAGGTGCAGGAGAGCTTCACGGAAGAGCCATTCAAGGCATTGATGATGGTGGGAGCCATGACCTCCATGCCCAATCCCGTGGGCGCTGCCGCCAGCACAGAGAGCAAGAGCAGAGACGCAGATGAGTTAGAAAGGTGGCACAAGCAGCTGCCCCGCTGGCTGGGCCGCCCCCCCCTTCCCACCCTGCAGCCCGACTGCCTGCACAGCTCTCGCCCTGTGGCCTGGGATTGCCTTTCAGGGATGCCCACGCACAGACCACGCTGCGACCAGCCACGACCGGGGCTCCCCTGCGCAGCAGCGACAGGGGACGAGGGGGGAGCAGCCCCAGCCCTGGCACCATCCCTTGGCCCGGCTCTGCAAGGGCTGATGACCCGTCTCTGCCACGCCTGCCCTGATTGTGCCTGGTGCTGAACCCTGCTGACTCCAGGCAAGCCCCGCTCCTTGCCGCTTGAACGAGGCTTTCCTGCTGCAGAATCGATGTGCAAAGGGCTGAATGCAGCATCAGCATGCAGGGCTCAGCGCCACATCCGCGCAGAAATTTATGGCTGCGCTCATCAGATTTCGTTCCCGGCAGGACGCGCTACGGCGGCGAGGGCTGGGATCTGCCAGGGCCAGCCTCTGGGGGCTGCAGGGGGAATGCAGATGCTCCCCCCTCCCAGCGGTGTTCACGCAAGGATGCTCTAGTTGGGAATGACCAAGTCAAGATCTCAGTCACTCCTGGGGGGACAAGGCCAGTCCCTGCACCCTGGCCTTGCTGTGGCAGAGAAACAGGGGCATTACTCGGTGCAGCTCACGGGGCAGGACAGCTCAGCCGGGGCATGGGCGGGGGTGAGGTGTCTGCGCCCTGCTCTCCCTCCCACTCCTTCCCTGCAGCTCCCCTAGTCTGCCGGCTGCCTCAGCAGCACCCGAAGCCCAGCACTTGCATCCAGCGTGCTCTCCGCAGCCCGCAAAGGGAAGGGTGCGAGACAGGGTCCTGCGCAGCCAGCTGCCTGCAAACTGAGGCTAAGCCCCACGAAGCACAGGGACGGAGAGCCCTGGAAGGACTGCTGCGAGGGACGAGACTGTAAGCGGGGGCTATGGCACCCCACCGGGCAGGGACAGTGACACTGGCAGCAGGCGCTTTGCCAATCACCTCACCTCTCCCCTTTGGCTGCTGCTCTTTGCTCGCAAACCTTCTTCCTGAGGTGCTCCTGAGTCCAGCCCTGCGGCCAAGCTGCATGCATGTCAAGGCTGCTCCGCTGGCCAAGCCGCTCCGTCTGCAAGCAGGGCAGGGAAAGGGCCCGGCCCTGCACCCAGGTGAGTCCAGCCCTGCGGCCAAGCTGCATGCATGTCAAGGCTGCTCCGCTGGCCAAGCCGCTCCGTCTGCAAGCAGGGCAGGAAAGGGGCCAGGCTCTGCAGCCAGGGAAAAGAGGCTTTTCCAAGCTGCAGGGATGGCTGTTTCGAGCCACAGGTCTTGCTGCGAGGTGCGAACCAGCAGCATCCTGAAGCCAGCTGGCTGGGGGCAGAGGGGTGCCCACCAGGTATGGCCAAGCCCCCGGAGATGGCTCTGCTCGTGCCGGCAGTCGAGCAGCCGTGGCGAGCACCGTCCACCCAGCTCCAGCGCAGGGATGGGGACGGCACCCTCCAGCCCTCCCCGCAGGGTGCTGGGAGGCAGGGATGGGGAGAGCTGGTGCATGGGGATGAGTTGCAGCATCCCAGGAAGGAAGAAGTGTCCAGGCCCGAGCCAGTGCCCGAGCCTTGCTGCACCATCGCAGCCCACCCCCTCAGATGCTTTCAAGAGAACCTGGTAGGGGTGGGAGAGCAGAGCTGGGAGCCTGCCTGTCCCAGGAGCCCTTGACAGACCCAGCCCAGCAGGCCTGGTTGGAGGGGTCCCTGCACAGAGGCTGTGCCCTGCGCACCCACGGTTGGGTGGCACGGCTTTGTGCTGCGTCCTCGGGGCTGCAGAGGGCTAAGATGCCAGCAGGAGCTCTCCCAGGCTCTGCAGCCACGGGGCAGCCCCAGCCAGGGCTTTGCCCTGCCACCTGGTACGGCAGGCGGGGAACCCCGACAGCAAAAAACGGGCGGCCGGGGACAGCCATGTGCCTTGGGAGCACCGACGTGCACGGGTCCAAGCTCTGCCGCTGCCCCGGGCGCCCAGCACCGGGGGACAGCAGAGGTTCGGAAAGAACCGCTCAGATCCCTGGGACGGACAGTCCAGGCTGTGCCCTCAGTGCTGCGCACGCTCCCAAATGTGCTGTCACCCTACACCCTGCACCCCAGAGCACCGGAGGTAAAATTACACGCAGCCTCTAAAGCAGCCCTTGCGGGGCGTTTTATCCTCCCGTTTCCCAGCCTCTCTCGTAAAGCCCAGGCAGCCCACCAGGAGCTCCAGGACAGTGTGAACAGCACTCCACAGAGGTGATGCGTTCCTGTTTCCGATCAATACAGACCCAAGCCTGCTGACACATGCTGCTGGCTCCAGGGCAGGGCAGAAATGCAGAGAGCACAGCCCCCCCCCAGCTTGCGGGGCGTTTTATCCTCCCGTTTCCCAGCCTCTCTCGTAAAGCCCAGGCAGCCCACCAGGAGCTCCAGGACAGTGTGAACAGCACTCCACAGAGGTGATGCGTTCCTGTTTCCGATCAATACAGACCCAAGCCTGCTGACACATGCTGCTGGCTCCAGGGCAGGGCAGAAATGCAGAGAGCACAGCCCCCCCCCAGCGCGTGCGGTGCCGTC